ACCTTCGATTTAACAACGTTTTATATGTTTGCACCTGTTTAAAGGCACACAAACCTTTGATGTGATGGTGGGGGCAATCAACTGGCAAAGACAGCTTTCAATGTTTTTTTGTTTTTTTTCATTTTGTTATATTTAACTTTTGTTATTTTCCGCATTTTATTGGTAACTTTTGTTTGAAGCACTTTAATAGATAAACATCTTTTGATAAATCCGTGAAGATAAATGTTTATCACTAATTTTAGTCAAAGTATTAACTAAATTAACAGTACAACTACATTATGTACAATTCTTGTGATTTTTTCCCCACAGCTTTTACTGGTCCCTTAATTCTGCTGCTCAGCTCTAAGTCACCAGAACCTTGATCTCCAAACTGGTAAACTCTCATTCCTTCTTTTTCGAAGCTTCGTTTCTGTAAATGGGCAAGTGTGGAAATTTACCCAAATTACCTCGGCCATTACTGGGGGAGGTAATTTTGCAAATTTACATTTCTTGGGAACACACACTAACTTACCCAGAGGTGTATAATAGGTGTATGATCCTCATAAACCTGATACAGGTTTATGAGGATCATGTGCGAACATTTATTGAAGTAAAGAACAGTGGTTGAATCTGATGGAGCTCACTTGTAAAAGCCCACGGTAGAAGAAAAAGTATTTACTTCAAGATTAAGAAAATTTTGTTGCGCGAGGCCCAGAGGGAGTAATTTCTTTTATTTCGGTGGAACCCTTAGGGTAATATACAGGTCAATACTTTGTCAACCTTAGGTGAGGACAAAGTAAATTAATTCATTGGTATCTTAGCTTCGACTAAACTCAGTGTCTCATACTTGAATTGTATTTTTGTTTTCTATAAAAAACATTTTCATGTTCACAGCTTGCAAATCTGTATTAGAGGCTTTTGATCTAATGTGGCTTTGTTTTTCCAAATTGTGTTGTCCTTTCACAGCAATTTTCACAAAGAGACACTGTCTGCAAGTCCTTGAACATCCGTGTAGTGAAGAAAACAGCAGAAACATTCAATATATTGAATAAAATATAAAGCAAAGTGTTACGTTATGAAGCACAACTGATATTATGGTTAAAGCAGCACCAAGTAAATTTCAAGTTTCAGACGTTCACCTTGTGGGCTGCAAAAGAATATCAGGCAACAAGTTTTTAGTTGCTATTAACTCAAAGAATATGGGCTCTAATGGAGCAAATGCCAAATGGAGCAAATGTTTGAACCTTAAAGGGAGGCTATAGTTTTTTTTTGTTGTTGTTGTCTTTACTAAGCTTGACATCAAAATGCAATATGGCTATCACCTGTATAAAATAATATGCAAACTGCATTTTGTTCAGAAGCGCTCATGTTTGCCTTCGAACATATTGCTACAGAGCCCAGATATGTAAATACCAGAGGGACACATCAACACACCATTACATTTTTAATAGTACAGTACTTGGTTTGTGTAAAAAAAAAAAACTTTAAAATAATTCCTCCAGTGTGCTGATTTGTAACGTGGACACTCAAGTAAAGCTTATGCAACGTTTGTTCTGATTAGATTTTTCTTGCTCTTTTACATTATTTTTCTTTTATTGCATTTTAAAGTTTATCGTTTCATCCATTTCTGGTGCAATATAAGATAATACTAAATTCATACATGAGTGCATTTTATAACTGAAATGTAATGCTGTGGGTTTCATTTTCCAAAGAAAATGCAACAGCTAAATGTGCAAAAACATCCAAGAAAAGTATAATTCAGTTCAAGAAGTAGCTCATTGATGAGATGCATTGCTAGAGCCATAAATTGGATTCCATAATCAATAGCTTTACTACTTAAAACAATGACTGTATTGCCTATTTTCAAAAAGAAACAACAACAAAAAAACAAAACACAAATCAAGCTGAAGTGCAATGACATAAAAAATGAAATGCAAACTATAACTGAGCTGATACCAACAGGGGGCAATTAAATATTGATCCTGGGAAAAAAAGTTCAAACTAAATAAGAACCAGACTGCTTTGTAAAAGTATCCAACTATGGACAAATATTCCACTGCAAGCTACATACATCTGGATATCAGTCCGTGGCATAAACAGATGATGAGTCATTATTACATAAAATAAAACTGAGTGGGAGAAAAGAAGAAGAGCAAAGAACAGCTGATTGACAATTGTTTTCAGACAGACTGAGCTCTGCTGAAGAGATCTGATGCCATTTAAAGGATATTCAAACATACAGGTGCTGGTCATAAAATTAGAATATCATGAAAAAGTAGATTGATTTCAGTAATTCCATTTAAAAAGTGAAACTTGTATATTATATTCATACATTACATACAAACTCATATATTTCAGATGTTTATTTTGTTTAATTTTGATGATTACAAATGACAACAAATGAAAATCTCAAATTCATTATATCAGAAAATTAGAATATTGTGAAAAGGTTCAAAATTGATGGCCCCTGGTGCCACACTCTAATCAGCTAATTAACTCAAACAACCTGCAAAAGCCTTTAAATGGTCTTTCAGTCTAGTTCTATAGGCTACACAATCATGGGGAAGACTGCTGACTTGACAGTTGTCCAAAAGACGACCATCGACACCTTGCACAAGGAGGGCAAGACACAAAAGGTCATCGCTAAAGAGGCTGGCTGTTCACAGAGCTCAGTGTCCAAGCACATTAATAGAGAGGCGAAGGGAAGGAAAAGATGTGGTCGAAAAAAGTGTACAAGCAAGAGAGATAACCGCACCCTGGAGAGGATTGTGAAACAAAACCCATTCAAAAATGTGGGGGAGATTCACAAAGAGTGGACTGCAGCTGGAGTGAGTGCTTCAAGAACCACCACACACAGACGTATGAAAGACATGGGTTTCTGCTGTCGCATTCCTTGTGTCAAGCCACTCTTGAACCACAGACAGCGTCAGAAGCGTCTAAAGAGAAACAGGACTGGACTGCTGGTGAGTGGTCCAAAGTCATGTTCTCTGATGAAAGTAAATTTTGCATTTCCTTTGGAAATCAAGGTCCCAGAGTCTGGAGGAAAAGAAGAGAGGCACTTCATCCACGTTGCTTGAAGTCCAGTGTAAAGTTTCCACAGTCAGTGATGGTTTGGGGTGCCATGTCATCTGCTGGTGTTGGTCCATTGTGTTTTCTGAGGTCCAGGGTCAACGCAGCCACATACCAGGAAGTTTTAGAGCACTTCATGCTTCCTGCAGCTGACCAACTTTTTGGAGATGCAGATTTCATTTTCCAACAGGACTTGGCACCTGCACACAGTGCCAAAGCTACCAGTACCTGGTTGAAGGACCATGGTATCCCTGTTCTTAATTGGCCAGCAAACTCTCCTGACCTTAACCCCATAGAAAATCTATGGGGTATTGTGAAGAAGAAGATGCAATACACCAGACCCAACAATTCAGAAGAGCTAAAAGCCACTATTAGAGCAACCTGGGCTATCATAACACCTGAGCAGTGCCACAGACTGATCGACTCCATGCCACGCCGCATTGCTGCAGTAATACAGGCCAAAGGAGGCCCAACTAAATACTGAGTGCTGTACATGCTCATACTTTTCATGTTCATACTTTTCAGTTGGCCAACATTTCTATAAATCCTTTGTTTTTATTGGTCTTCAGTAATATTCTAATTTTCTGATATGATGAATTTGAAATTTTCATTTGTTGTCATTTGTAATCATCAAAATTAAACAAAATAAACATCTGAAATATATGAGTTTGTATGTAATGTATGAATATAATATACAAGTTTCACTTTTTAAATGGAATTACTGAAATCAATCTACTTTTTCATGATATTCTAATTTTATGACCAGCACCTGTAGATGCAAAAGGAGAGAGACCCCTTTTAGTTTATTTGGGAATTACATGAGCTTTCTCATACACCATCTGCAGGAGCCTAGTCTAACAACCGTATTTATACAACCTTTTTCACATTTTGTAAGGTTTTGAAGGATGGCAAAACAACATGGCCTCAGTCAAACTGGCTGGAGAACATCTGTGCAAAAGGATTTAGATCTTGTTAAAAATTAACAGAATTTTGATCTGGCCTATATAACCAATCAATACATGTTGATCTAAACTACTCTATGATAGCTGTGTTTGTATGTTTATATAAATATTCCTGCTAAAAGGGGAACTCTTGCACCCGTCTTGAGACTTCAGCAGCCTCTTGCATTTGTTTGGTTTTCCTCTCAAGGATTTTTAATTGTTTTTTTTCTACCAATCAACCTTCAGAAGCCTCTTTGTACCTGATAACAATAAGGATTTCCATAGTATGACAACATCCTCTTTTAATTTTATTATAGGAAGTGTACAGGCCACAGCTTTCAATTGTGCTCTAATGTGACCAGGGTGTCCTCTGTCTCCTTATTAGAGTTAAAAATTCTGAAAGAGCAGTTTCTTTTTAACAATGGCTTGTTTTCTTGTCTTGTCTTGTCCTCTGGATTTTTTTATTTAAATTACAATTCCACCTGAGGTAGCTCTTTCTGCAGCTCCTTCTGTGTTCACCTTTACCCCTTAATTTTTTTTGCTGTGTTCCTAGTTTTTATAATGCTGTTGTTCAATCAGGTACTCCAACAAACCATAGAGGTTTTGCAAGATCACTCATACATAGAGAAATACAGCATTAATATGGGTAAACTCTATTTAACAACAAGGTAACTTCTAAAGGCAAATGATTAGATGAGATTTTACCCAGAAAAAAGAGAACTAAAAACATATTTTTAGATTCTTGTATTCAAAATGATAGAAATAAAATAAAATAAAACATGTTTTAATTTGAATATGTTTAATTTTTTTGGTTCTTCACATAAAATCTTGCTGAAATGCTTTTTTTCAGTTGTAACATAAAAAATGGTCAAGGACAAGAATTATTTTAGTAAGGCACAATCTGTAAACCCTCTCCAGTTTGCTATTAAAATCTGACTTTTATATGCTCCGATTTAATTTGAGTTGTGGTTAGCCATAGCCTAGTGACACATGAAGTGTTTGGGTACTTACAGTTTGACATGTTTACGACAGGGAACAGAATTTCTATTGCAGGTGCCGGTGAGGATGTCTACATTGTCGACTATGACAAAAGGCTTCTCCTCCAGAGTAACGATGGAGAGGTGGTTCTCATCAGCATCTTCATCCCCATGGGCATTATACCTTGGCCACACTGGGAACATGAGTGAAAGGGTTCCGTTCTCCCAGCGGCCCATCTACGTGAGCACAGACAGAAAAAATTAGACAAAAAATGCTAACAGAGTCTTCTCTTTAAATGTATTAAACCAAACAACTAATTTGTTACCTTCTCCCATTTCCTTTCACTGTTCAAGACAATGACAACCAATCTAGGGTTGGCCTGGTAACCATCAGGAGTAAAGGAGAGATCTCGTCCTTCATTCCACACATGCATCATGTGTCTGCAGCCCATGGGAAGTTAGAGAGAAGGGATATGTTGTTATGCATCAGTCACAGTTTGTGCACAGGAGCAGATACATTTCAAATAACACGTTAAACAGTTGGTAATCGCTGCAAAAGGATCTTCTACAAATCAATGCTGTCTTCACCCACTGCTTGGGTTTGTGCATGCCTCTGCGTGTGATTTTCTGTGTGAGTGGGAGAGAGGCAGAATCAGAGGGCACATATCTCTTCCATCAACATTCTGCATTGATTCCCTCCACAGATGTACGCCTGAAAGACAAGTCACTGGTGCAACTAGGGTGCCCTCACTCTCTTACTCACTATAGCTCTCCTGCGTGAGCAAACAGGACCTTTGCTGAAACATTTACTCTTGCTAAAGTGAAGCAATAGAATGCAGCAAATGAGCCAGCCTGGTATACAGTGATACAGGACTATGAACACTTCCTTTTGATAAAAAACTAACAAAAAGCAAGCTTGATCTGGTGGTTAAAAGATTAGATTATAGCTTGAATTTACAAAGGGAAAATATGGGTCATGTGAGGGAGTTAAGAGCCAAGACTAACGTAAAAAATGGACAGAGCTTGGTATTAAATAATTCAATTTGACACTGTCAAGCAAGACTTGATGGATAATGCTTGACAACTGAAACCTGATCTGATTAACACAGAAAAGACTTAAATTTGCCTCATAAGCATTTTGATTTGTTTTCATCAAATAAAAAGAGTAACTCTCCTCATAGGTTTTGTTTTAAAAATGTTTTCATAACAAATCAGTATTAGAGCAGGCGAATCCAAGAACCCTTAAGGGTTTTGTAAGTAACCAAGCGAAGAAGCCAAGATGGGTTCATGCATAAGCTAAAATATTGTGACAGAAAGTCATAATGCATAAGAAGAAATATTTGACAGTAGCTTTGTATGGAGCCTGCAGGTGGAAGTTTTTACTGTCTCAAGTGCAAGAAACAGGTGATGAGGTTGAGGCAAATAAACATTGCTGAGTTAGAGGGGTGTGATTGAGTTAAACACTTTTAAGCATTTTCAGCCTAAAACATTCCTTTTTTTAAACTTTACTGTTAAATTATTATCAAAGAGTTAATCCTAGAAGATATAATACTGTTTGCCATTGGGTAAACTGAAAATTATATTGTTAACCAAACTAATTTAATTTATGATATTGTGTCTAACTATTATCAATAATTATATTACAAAAGTGAAAAATCTAAACATAAAAGAAAAGAATAGCATTATTTTATATTTATTTGGCAATGTTTCCGCCATGTTGCAGTACTCGAAAAGGTGACGTCATGGTGATGGTTGATGCTTTAGCCGGCAATGGAATGCATTGGAAATACAAGCTATACCTCACAACCGTGAAACAAGATAAGTGAAACTAAAGAGTCTAAATCCCATGGCTTATGCTTTTACGCTCATTTACCATGTGTGTTACTCGACGATACACCCTACCTTGTGGCAAATCTGCAGACTGATAGCACGTCACGGGTTGCAGAAATACAATGCTATATGGAATATATATGGAATATATATGGAATTAAAATATCATTATTTGCTTAATAAAGAATCCACGTGTCCAAACCGAGAGAGAAAAAGGGCAAAACTTTAACAATTATAATTGTTCATTCTCATAAAATGTGACCTCTGCCCATCCCTGACTGAGAATTGGCAGGTTTTTGCAGCACCCACAAGGCATTTTGGAGCAAAGGGCCTTTCCCAAGAGCCGAGAGTGGTAGTCAGTGTTTCCAACTAACAAAAACATCCTGGAGAGGCTCTCTAAGCTCTTGGCCACCACTCCCCAATTGAAATCAAATAGGAAATGTACAAAGACCATGTCCATCTAAAACTCAGAAGCTGAAGACTAAGGGCGTACTGTACTTCACTGCATGTCTCTCTCCCCCTCTCTCATACCCCTTCTTTTCAATGAAACTGATTTGATTATCAGCCAGAGCAGTGGCTTTAAAAAAGAGGTTATATTAGTTCATCTGTTTGACAAGACAGAAACAGTTTTGGACAAACTGGGATTAAGTCGGCCCCTTTTCATTACCCATCATTCATGGTTAAAGTGGTGAATCAAATTTTGAGGCTTTCCTTCTGTGATGGTTCTAAATCACCTTGTTGTTGTTGTGTATTATCAGACATGATTCTGGGGTCTTCTGTTGGCTCCTACAGGAATGTATTCACACCTGCATTCTGAAAATAATCTAGATACTGTCATTTAAAATTTTTCTTTCATAGAGGATATTTGCTCTCAGTAGCAAAGTCCTTATGTCTTAGAAATAACGTAACTCCTTCCCTACTGGTAAATGTCAATGCCTTTGTTTCTCATCTATTCTTAAATCTCCTTTAGTTGGAACAGGAGGTCTTGCCTTTTGAGATCTATTAGTTTTGATTTATGCAGTCAGACAAGGTCCATTTGAGTGATTTATTGGTTCTATAGGTCAGTAACCAGCCTAATAATACAATTGCCAGAAGGGTGATTGCATTTTTTACATAAAACCAGATTGTTTCGAATGTTGTTTTTCCATTAACAAATAAAAATATAATTTATAAAAAGCATGTTGCATTACCTCAGTCAAACTTTGCTTAAAGCCTTTTAGTTTGACAAATAAACACAACAAACTAATCTAAAGGGGGCAAATATTTTTCCACAGCATTAGAACAGTCAGCCTGTTTCTTTTCTCTTGTATGGTAAATTTCACTCATTCAGTGGAGCAGGTAAATTATTGTTCCTAAAGCATGTAGGCTCTAAAAAGAAAGAAAAACCCCCAATACCAAACAGCTCTGTTGTTGGTTCAACCTCTCTCAGCAAGCACAAATAATTAGCTCCACATAAACCTACGCAGCTACACATAATAGACACTCCTGCTCTCTGTAATTGAAGCTGTCTCTATTATAGATTACAATAGTTTCATTTATTAGCAGCATGTCGAGATAAATATACCTTTTAATGTTTGAAAGTTCTCACGGTGCAGCAGGTGATGCCCTTGTCGCAATAAATTGCCATGGCTGAGTACATATAGCGGAAACAACGTGGTAGTTTATTCTGGGAAAAAAAGCTGTCTCCTCCTATTTGGAGAAATGTTTTTCATACGGCCTGTTGAAATCAGGGTGTTTTTCATGTATGCATAAGAAAATAGCTTATATATTCATATTCAATGGCTAGGTATGTATTAGGATAAGATGCATACTTTTTTTTGGAGGGGGTGGATCTAACAATTTAGAGCTTTAGTTACTGTAAAAAGGGGTTACATTCTCTTAAATTGCGGAAATTCCACTTGTCAGGAAAAAAATAAAATAAACAACATTTAACAGGTTCCAAAATCAAAAACTTAAGGTCCTTTTGCAGCCCACTGATATAGTTCATCAAGATTTGCTCGTGTTTATTTCTATGGGGTTATTTTAGGGCACATCAATTCAATTTAATTCATTCTGTTTATATTATGCAAATTCCCCCAAAAATGTCACTTCAAAGTGTTTGACATGACAAACTGGTCCAGTTCTTACTCAGAAACATTAAGTCAGACCAAACCAGTAAAATTTCATCACGGAGAGTTATTTAACCAGGTTGAATTCAAAGGTTTTCAAGGCCCGAACAACTTCTTAATTATTTTCCTTTTCATCATTATGTTGAAGCTCTGCAGCAGTGTTATGGATTGTTACCTCATTTAATGACCCAGTTTGAGCAAAGCTTCAGTTGTTCAAATGGCCTCACAGAGAACAGTGAAGAGAATGTGGTTAACCTAATGAACAAGGTGTCCAGCTACTTTACAATCAATTTCTTGAGATATTCAAGTACTAGGTGTTTGAAAGCTGTTGCTGAGGCTGTACGATGGAGCCTGTTTTGTGCTTTTATAAAGATTAAATTTCAAAAATCCTAACAGTGCTATAAGGACCTGATAATTTTTACCTTTTGATCTGTGAAAAACTCCACAAATAGGGAAAGTCTGTTAGTTTCAGCCTTGTTTTTTTTTTTTTTTTTTTTTAATAAAGGTAATCATTTGATCTATTTCTGTATAATTGTTAATGAAATGTTATACAGTCACCTATCAATACTTAACTTTTGTGTTTTAGTTATGAATTTTGATCTGCTGTTAACTGTAAAAGCTAACGTGGCTCCATTGTGAAAACCTTTATAAAAGCATAAACAAAGGAAAGAAGAGGAGTCTCCTGCAAAATGATCTTCAAGCAGCAAAAGAAGTTACAGTTTATAGGTTTAGCATCAATTATATAACAAAAGCATTTTTTTAGTAAACTTACAAAGGATAAACCTGTTCTATGATGCTGCTCAAACATGCTAAAGTCTAAGCTCTAAACTCCCATGCAGCAATAGCAATGTTGGATCTCGCAGGTTAGATAAAGTCTTTCAAATGCCTGATTATGCAGCCTTGTTTCTTCTTTTCTGCTTCGCCCTGTTGAGTTGCACACTGCAGCAAAGATGGAATCTAAACTAATGTATGCAGGAGTCTGATTACAGCTTCACTGCCTCCATTTCAGGGAAGGAAAATGCAACCTGTCAGTTTGTTAACACAAAAGAACAGATGCACTGGTTTTAACTAAATCTAATAATTTACTAAGAAAAATGTATTGCATCTAAGACAGAATAAAGATCGTTAAGGAAGCTGCTACAAAGACTTCTACTGGTTCAACGTGTTAACAATAGTATTATTGCCTTTTGCTAATATATATTGTTATGAGCTGATAAGTAGGAGGTTTGGGATAACAAAGACGTATTGATCAAAATCAAATTGTGGCTCCTATTCTAATGAGGGAGCTCATAACTCACTACAGATAAAGAGAGAAGAGCAACTTGACATTTATGTGTTTATTATTTTAATGCAGACTTCAGAATGTATTAATTCATATTTTGGCTGCTGCACATTCCATATTAATGAGGGCATCACAATATAACAGCACAGAAACATAATGACAGTAGCTTCACTATCATTACTATTATGGTTTATTTATATTTCTGCATCTTTCTGTTTTCTGTTTAAAGCAGTTGTTGAAGACCACATCAGCAGAGAGCAGCAGACGACTGCTAATTAGTTATGCATAAATATAAAACAGTGTAAAGGTTACAAACCACTACCACTACATATGCTATCACATTGTCAAAATTTCAAGTGGTCTTCAATAAAAGTAGTTATTTTTCTAAAAGTTCTTATGTACTTCTGTTATTTCTCTCATTCTTAGTCCTAATGTTTAAGGTGATTATCACAGTGCATATGTTTCCTTCTGTAATTTACAAACAAATGAGTGAGTAGTTTGAGAGCAAAAAAAAGTATAATTAGTACGTGAATAGTATCATATATTTTCTTTACGTCAAAGTCAATGTGAAATTTATTTATATAGCACTTTCAAAACAGGTGTAAAACTGCACCGAAGTGCAGTACAAGAACCACAATAACACAAGTTGATAAAAACAGAGTATCAAAACAATACCTCACATAAATGCCAAGGAATAAAAATGAGTTTTGAGAAGCGATTTCAAACGATCCAGTCTGTAGGTAGATCTAATTAGGAAAGGTACATTGTTCTATAGAATAGGAGCAACAACAGGAAAAAAAAAACATATCTCCTCTCCTCTTAAGTCCGAGGAACTGTAAATAATAGCTGGTTATTTGATTGTAGGGTTCTGGACACAGACTGAAATTTTAAAATGTATAAGGGGGAGCTAGCTCATTTAAACCATATAAGTTATTAAAAGAACCTCAGAATCTATTTGATAAAGGACTGGTAGCCAGTGTAAGGCCAGTATAGGCCTTATATGGTCATGCTTCCTGGTTCCTTTAAGAAGCTGTGTCCCTGGGTTCTGGATCTTTAAGAAATCTAATAATCTCATTTAGTTGTTTGTTTAAAATAAACAAGGCTTATTTTAAACAAAAATTTTAAATCACAGTTTAAAATGTAAGGATCAAAGTAAATTGTAGCAGAAGAATCTCTAATATAAATGTATTATCTAAAGTGTTAATGTTTTGATACATACAAAAAAATCCCAAAACAGCACAGTTTGCACCACCCCTAATTCCTGTAAAACATAACTGAAGAATTTTTTTCATAATTTTAATTTACTTAAAGTTAAACACCGTTGCTTATACACACCATCTTTTTTTTTTTAAGTGTGAAAGACAAGAGAGCACACATTTAGGAAACTGTGATTCGGTGACAGCCCTTCACCACTACTGTAATGTAAAAATTTTAAGAACTGATACTAAAACCAAAATAAGGCCACAGGAGGATCCAGGTTTATCTTGCCAACAGGTACAATGAAGATAATGTAGAAAAGGTATAACAAATCAAGAAAGCTAATTTCTACAGGATTGCAGCAAACACGTCGATAATGGTTCAGCTCACTGGTTCGAGTTACTTTGATCAATATTATTTTCTACACATAAGAGTATTTGTATTTATTTATTTTTTTTTACAAATAGAAAAATCAAAAACACTGTGTCATACTAAAGTAGACCCTGATCCCCTCTGTTTATACGCCAGGCCAGCGGACAATTTTCCAATATGAAAGATCTTAAACGTAGCCTTTCACTTTCTTGATAAAGAAACTCAGGGTCAACGTACAATACTGATCTGTTTTCTTTTCATAACTACATCGAGCATCGAGAACCCTATCGAGTATTTGTGAAGTCTCATATAATCCATGTTGTCGGTGGCTTAAATGGAAGAAGATTTCAGTTGCAACCTGAGAGGCTCTAGTGGACTTAACACTAAATATAGTTAAGACAGCATTGGAAGACAATGGTTGTAACACAAAATATAGACACTTAGGGCTAAAATATGGAAAATTCCCTAAAGGGTGTATATACTTTTTGCCAGTAGTTGAGGGGACAGTAAATTTGAATTGTCATATTTTTAGTTGGTCGCATGAAATGAAATGCTATGTAAAAGTGAGAGGAGTGCTCATTTTTGAGAGATAGTTTATGTGCTGTCCATAGAACTGTATAACAAAAATAGCAAAAAAGAACAAAGCTGGTAAAATCTGCTTTAAGGCTGACTTCTTGCAAGTGCATTCTGTCATGCAGCTGAAATACATCCACATCAGAAGCTATCGAGCTCTAGTTAACACAGAGGAGCAACAACATAAAGGTCTGCCTTTCACTTTTTTGTCTTTTAGCTAAGAAGACACAATTGGCTTCAAAAAGCTGTGCACAAAAGCTGACAGTGTTAAATGTCATTAGAAATCACAGGGTTTAACGCTGCTGTCATCTTCTCTTCCTTCCCCAACACCATCCCTCTCATTAGAACATTAAAAAGGGTTATGCAAGACTGCCGAATACTGAGCTACAAAGACAAGCTGAGTTATGCAAGTCCCTAGACCACGATCTCCTTACACTCATCAAATGTAAACCCACACAGACGCATACACACACCTGCGCAGGGCACTAGGTGGGAGCTTCCCAGGGCTCCTGTCTGATGGTGTACTGAAGCAGCTGGTCTGGGCCTCAGGCAGCTCCCCCTTCTCCCGGAGCATGGAGGTAGCTGCGGAGGAAATGATGCCCACCCCGTCCCGCACCCGTGTCTCCAGTGGGTATTCCCAGTCGTCATAGGAAACGGAAATCATACCCAAGGGATACATCTGAAAAGAAAGGAGATCTAAGCAATGGCACATACTTTGCCCTGGATTCATTTTGTTCTCTAATCCAGCATCTAGACCCAATTTTTTAACATATTCATGTATTTCAACAAGGTGTTAAGGTTTCCTTTGCTCTTCAGAATTAATTCATAGGCGTCAGTTACACAAGTGTGATTCTTTGTTACCATACGCAGCATCTCAAATGGTTTATGTCCTTAAATCTCTCACAGCACCCGCCAGCAAATCAAATATGAAAATTCATGTCAGGCAGATTACATAGAGATTGATGATAGATATGAAACTGTATAGTTTTGGAATTTGACCCTAAGGACAGGAAATTCAAGCAACACAAGTAAAATTACCAATTTTCATTTTTTTGTTTTCTATTCTTCCCCTTAATTAGACACAGAATTAATCCTTTTAATTATTAAGACCAGAAAAGTTTTGAAAGGAAATTTCTCAATAAGCGCTGCACCTAATTTTAAAGCTCATTTCAGCTATGCAAAGTACAGAATATGCACACAAAAAATAACATAATGGAAGGGTGATGGATGGATGGAAGACAGAAAGGAATACAGATAAAAGTGTGCTTATGTGTTGTTATTATTTTTCCATACTTTTATTTTAAGTTTAAAAATAGAGTACAAAAAGATAGTGTGTAGTTTTTCTCAATTACTGAGAATTTCTTGGCTGAAATGTTATCTACAGGGGATTTTAATACTCCATAGATGCTTTGACATAAAGTTTAATTTAGCCTAAAACCAGATTAAGTAGTATACATTAGGCTAAATGTGTAAAAATTATTAAGCATGCACTCATAAATATGACTCATTGGATTAACTCAATTCAATTGATGTCAGTTTTTCCATCAATATATTTTTCAACATTTATCTGTATGGTGTAATTTTATTCAGTCTGTTCAAGGGAATTTTAAAAAATACTTTTAAAAGGAAATTAATACATACACCAAATTTGAATGTTTCGTTGGTTCAACTAAATAAAATCTAATTCTGTTGACCTATATTTGTCCGTGGTTTAAATTATGTTTTCTTCAATGAACTCATAATATATATTTTTTTGTATTTACTTTAAGAAGAGAAACAGTTTTTGTTAGCAAATATGCATGCATGTCACATGGTCAAAATAACCTTGACTGAGATAGAGCTGCATCTGATCATGGATACTCAGCTGAAGATGGTTTCATCTGCGTGGATTTGGGCAACAGCTAAATCCACTATCTCTTTTAGATGTGGAATTACCTGGCATACTGGCTTGTTCTGTGGCAAAAGTTGTCTAATAAATCAAAGGATGTACTCTAAACAAGGACCAATTTTCATGAGCATTGCAAAGTGACCTTAGCTAAAATTGTTCACTTGAAAGATCGTCCTTGTAAGCTCAAAAGGTGACTTTATAGTGAACTCCAGAATTATAGGTTACTTCGCATCATTAATAAAATGTTCATACATATTGTCTTACAGTGGCAGCCATTCAAAACGGCCTTTCCCAGTCAAACGCCAATCGAATGGTAGCCCACTCCCCTCCAACTCCCAGCCACTGGAGTGAGCCTCTCTTATATATTTTTTACTGACTCCACCCTTTCACTGAATTACAGGGTCTGATAAGGAGATGACACTTCTCTTTAGATCTTAATGTCCACACATGATGACAGAAAGAATATTTTAGTACAAAGATTGATGTTTATAAAGGAATTATAGGGGACCAGCCAAGGACCCACTAAATCATTCTGGAATCAATTACTTTAAGTATATTGAATGTTAAGACATTGTGTCACTTCAAAGATTGGTTTTAATAATTTTTTTAAGTGTAGCTTAATGATTCAGTGGCATTATCATGCAACATAATGAGCATTCAAATCTTATGACGATCAGACCATGTACAATCAAACAAAGTTAACAAAGCATATTTCCTATTTATTTCTCACTGCCTATTTATTTCTCTAATCAGGGCTTGCAGTGGTCCTTTTACATTTCAAAGGGCAATTACAGTCCGTAGACCAGGGGTCTTCGATTCTAGTCTTCAAGGTCTGTCTCTGCTTCAACACACCTGGGTGAAATGTCAGGTCATTAGCAGGGCTCTGGGGAACTTAACTGTATAATGAGGAGGTAATTTAGCCATTTTATTCAGGCGTGGAGGCAGAGAAACTGCTCAAAAATGCACAAGACATGATCATTGAGGACAGGAATTAAAGATTGCAGCCCTTGATCAATATCCTATAAACAACCTGGAGGGTGAGCTGAGGAGAGGACACTGTATAATCTAATAAGAAGCGCTAAAATGTGTACTCCAGGAGTGCGTTCTGTTCACTTACTGGCAAATTAATGTTATATAATGGATTAAGCACAAACAAATGTGCCACTGTAAAAAGAAGAAACTAAAGCATTTCTTTAGGACCGTTCTTCTCTGGGATAACTGTACGCACATTAAAGGTTGCATTTTCAACATCCTTCCCTGTGACATTTTGTTTTTGTGATAAATTATCAAATTGTTTTAAGACTGTGACACCCAGTGGTGCTAGTTCTGTTTATTTAGTGAATAGGAAATAAAAGGTCTGAGCAAAAAGCGACTTGAATTTATGTTGTGATATCGAGCTATTAAAAAAAGGCTTGATTAGACATCATGAAAAAGACACAAGCAAACAAACAAAAGAAACTTATTGCTTTCTGGGCTAGAAATCATCTTAAAAGTGATAACGTTATTCAGAATAGAATGAGTTACATACTATATCCATAAACTTTCAACCGCTGTTCTCTTTTCTGCTCTGCATTATCTATTTTCTTCTATTTCTATACAGACTTGTTCATTTAAATAGATTATATTTAGATAATATTTTCCCACATTTATATTCAATATCCTGCTTTGGGGCTAAGCAAATTTAGTTAGGCACAGAGAAAATGCTAGCTGCATGGGAAAAATAATCATTGCTGACTTCAGCAAGCAAAAAATTATCATCTCTATCTATTTAGGGTATCGCTCGTCTCACTTATTAGTGTTAGGCAGGGAAAACAAAAGAGCAGAAATTCAAGGCCGGTAGAGGATGGCCTAGACAGCTCCGTATCAAAAATACTTCTTGTCCTGTCACACTGCCTGAAAGTGGCCACCTGTTTACAACATCGAGGGCTTCACTACCTCAGGGGTAAAGTCTGGATTTCCAGTGGTGAGACTTGACACAATCCAGATGTAACCGGCTCCTATTAGACCCAGCGACCGAGCTTCCTCCAGGATATATCTGTCAGAGAGAGGAGACAAAGTCACTGTTGAAATCTGGCAGTATGTGACAAAGAAATAAACAGCATGGCAGAAAATGAAAGGCCCCAACACTCACACTGCCTCATCCTTGGAGCAGTACAGCAGTATAACAGGGCTCTGTATCCTCTTGAGGGCTATGTGTGATTTTGAGTTGGGGTCACCATCGACAGCATCTAGTGTCACCACACTCTGCAGATCCCAGCGCACAAAGCTGGAACAACACACCATTAAAGAATACAGGTGCTTAATCTTGTCAACAACCCTGAATAATCAGTAAAGATTATGGAATACATTATGGACCACTGAAAAAAAAGGTGTAGGGTATTTTTAGCTTTTAAACTCCAATTGGGAAAGGTGTTGAACAGTTGCCATTTTAAGTTTTTTAAATGAAGACATGTCATAGGTCTAATACAGAAATTAAGGAAAATAATTGTAAAGCTGGTTGCACACTATTTTGTGTATTGCCTTTTATACCAAAATACTGAAAAGTGGGTGTTATATGGCTATAAACTTGAAATGGGCTGAGTGGAACATAAAGTCCTCTAATGTCACACTAGTAAGTTCTCTATATAACTTAATGGTATAGGGATACGTTCCTTTTCTTTTCTCATGAAAGTGAAATTTTGTTGGGGAAACAATTATTATTAAAATCACTGTGTTTATGTCAGAATCATAATGAACTAAACTGGGTTTTATCTGTGATTTAAATATTAAAGACAAAACTCATAAATAAACAAAAAAAAAAATTCAGGGGCCCACAATGAAATACAGAAATGTGAGTTTTATGTTTATTTCTGTTTATTTTGATGACTTTTTTTTTAATACAGCTACTAAATCCAAATACCATGGTTCTTAAAGTAACAGAAATTAGATAGTATTATCAATAAAAAAAGGATTGTAAACACAGAAAATACAGCATTTTGAAACAAAACACTTCAGAAACTTCTGCTGAAGTGGGCAACAGTTCAGCCATCTTTTACTCTGATGGTCAGTATTATGTCTCTGTTGTCTAAACATAATAAATGCTGCTGTTGTGATGACATGTTAATTTGTTTCTTAAGGGTGTGAGTGGTTGCCTGCTGTAACACTGTTAGGTCCGCAATCCTTCCTCTGGTTATGTGTGCCAGTGGTTCCCAACCCTGCTCCTTAGAAAACCCCTATCCTGCATGCTTTAAGTGGAATGACAAAGCACTTGATTTCAGAGGGGAGAACCAATTACTGCATAAGATGCATCTTAAGCATACAGGACAGAGGTACTTGAAGATCTGCATTGGGAAACACTAATCTAAAATGTTGGTATTGAAATTCCATTTTTTACTACTCTGTTTGAAGTATTCTGACCATTTTTCATTTTGGATTTTCATGACCGTGAACAGACACTGACATCACTGCTGCAGTCCTGGATTCTATGTAAATGTAACTTTTAATAATTGCAGTAATATTGACTAAATAATGCATTTCATGTCTATATATTTCCTTGTATTAAAAGCTGAAAAGCAGAATATCACTTTAACCAGGACAAATGCAGGGCTTCACTGACCCTATGCTGGGTAACAAATGTCTACCATCTCTAAATATGTAGTGTTTAGGAGTTTTTGTTTTTTGGTTTGTCTGTTAGCAGGTTAACTTTAAAATGTAAGGAGGTGTGCCATGTGTGGATCAATAGATTTAAATTTGGTAATGATTGAAATCATGTATGAGTTTTAGCTATAGGTGTACTACTGTAAGTCACAATATGGGGCAAATTTTGCTGCTTGGTGGAGGTCTGCACTCTCCAAGTGCTTTTCTAGTTACTTATCTGTAATTAATCTATATTTTATTGAAATTATATATTAAAATATATATAACCTTAAAAGATATTCAAGTTTATTAAATTAGACTTTAATGTAGGTATGAGTTTTTTCAACAAGTTAACAATGTGATAAAAAATACAAGCCTAAAACCTTAGAAAAAAAAAACGATTTTTTATTAGTATTGTTGTGAAAACAAATATGTGGAACAAAATTATAATCATACCAACTGTATTTTCAGAATGTGTGGCAGTGCTTTAGGGTGCATTTGTACCTGTGATCCACAGTCACTTTCAGAGTGCTTATGAAATCCTGATAGCCGGGGAACTTGGAAGTTACGATAGAAAAAACATGCCAGTCATACTCCTCCATGATTGCAAGCATTAGCAAAGCCTCCTGCTGCAAGGCTGCGCCGAACTGGAAGAAAGTGGACTTCTCATCCTGCAAATACACACAACAGAGGTACCAAAAATCTGATTTTTAGGAGAACTTTTGCAATCAGACAGACTATGAGAAGACTGTGACAAGAGGAGGGGGCAAAATGGGAAAAAGAGGAAAAGATACAGAAAGAGTGACAGATTCAGGCGAGAAGTGAGACCGCGCTGCAAGAGTGACTGCTGGCAACAAGAGGCAGGCCCTAATGGTCGGTGATAACAGCCTCATAACTCACAGGCTTAATTCACTTCAGCACTCAGCCATGGATTATCTTTAAAAGTAATTGATCCCAATACTAATGTCATGCCAAATGACATGTTATATGGTGCTATACTTCAAACTCGACTTAGAGGAAGACGCTACAATCTCTAACTTGCCGAGTGTTAAATTGCGAATAATATGGATTAATTTAATATCTGCATCAAGTGAAATTATGGGGCATCCTCTTTTAAACTGTTCACAGATTCACAACATTAATTCTTCACCCCCCAGCAATGACAGCAAAGTGATGATGAGTGTGAGAGGAAGAAGCAGCAGCAAGGACTACTAAAATGAATGTGTGTGAAATAAGTTGCTAATGATTGCAGACACAACAAAAAGTGAGAGTCAATCTATCGTAGAGAAGTGTGGATATGGGGAATGAGAGAAAGGAGTGCAAGGAAGATAGAGATGAGGGGTGAATTAGCGAATTAAATTAAAACTTTTCATCTTCTGGACTGAGGTTAAGATATATATGCTGCAGTGGGGAAAAGGTATTTGAATTACTGCTAAAACATAAAGCTAGAATGGATCTCCTACCTACAGTTTGTCTTACACACCTCTTTTGTTTCTGTTTTTTTATTACACTCAAATGGTTCAGATCATCTGAGCCACTTTAATATGAAGCAGACAAAATAAATGCAGAAGGCAGTTTTCAACCACAAGTTCATTATTCAAGCAAAAATGATTTCAAAAACCTTACTATTAAGTTAATTTATATTACTTATTTGCTCTTGGGTGTGGCTGTGTGTTTATTTTTTGTTTGGCAACTTCCATTTTTCAATTCAATGTTTATATATTTGGATTTTAATGTCAAAACTGTTTCCCAAAGAGCTATTGCCTAAAAAAAAAGTAGATGGTATTCCTATTACCTGTGGCAAGTCTTTGCTATAGGCTTTCTTTACTTCCTAAACAGATGAAGTCTTGATACTGCTGTTCTGTTCACTGGGTCGATACCCCCACATGGTTCAGAGAATTTATGATCCTGTTTGAAACTAGCTGTGACGGACGGAGCTAGAAGTTTTTCAAAGGGGTGGCAAAGCAGGTAGCAATACGAACTGAGCAGGGGCCAGAACAGATGAATGAACAATACCAGCTCAGGGTCAATCTACACTAATTACCAACAGGAAAATGAATAGGCACAAATTGGTCCTTTTTCAGATAAATCCCTTACAGTAAAACCAGATTTAAATGGAGCCCTTGTTAATAACTTGACACACGTATTTATACATCTGTTGTCTAAATTAATGATTTATGTTTCTGTATATTAAAGAAATGAAAGGGCTTGTGCAGTTGTTCTTTATCTTTGGTTACTTAAAAGAAAACTAGATGACTTCCAGAAATATATAATTTTACCTTCTCCACCATAATATAAAAAAAGTAGTTTAGAAAAGAGCATAAATTGTGTCTTTAATATTAGTGTATTGATGTGAACAATTAATTACTGTATTTTTGGTTGATTTACTAATAATGAAATACTAATATAATAATAAACATTCGAATTACAATAGGCCCTCGTAGCGCTAATAATAATTAAAATGTCCAATTAGTTAGAACCTCCCACTTTATAGGATCCCTGCTGCCACCCTCTGTTTTAGAAAGCAATTGCTTGTTGAAGAGTAAATTACGTCCATATGGGGACACCCCATTACCTGGTAGGAGTAGTCATTGACTAGCCTGGCCACCCCCTAGCTCTGCCTCTGGCTGGTTAAAGTGCAAGTTTGGAAAATATTGGTAATGTGTCAGCAAGCATGACTCTTTTGCGCCCTTAGCAGTCTGCATTATTTGCTGCTTTCTGAGACTGTTTTAAAATAGTCAGTAAATCTTCAACATAAACATGAGAGTTTTTTTTTTGCACCTACAGTACAACATCAGCTTTGGCTCTGCAGTTAAAGAATAAATAATACAAATATTGTAACAATTCTCTGTTTTGGTTCTATTGGGGTCCATATGGTTATGTACAAAATAAATCTGACAACTCAGAGATTTAACTTTATGACTGCACCTGAAAGAATAAAACGAAAGGTCAGAAGAGGTGATGATGAAATTATACTACAGTAACATCTATCTCACTTGTTCGATCAATGTGTCCTTTGCTGTGGGTATTTGTTTGAGTTCATTCTTTTAACAGATGTTAAAAAGAAGTAAAATTTGCTTTGGAGAGTTACTGAGAGGCCATGTGATCAGATGACAACACTAAAGCTTACAGTGGCAGTTTTGTAGATGCCATGCAGAGATCATAACATGCCAAATACCGGACAGTAAACACTAACACTAAGAAATAATCAGTAAGTAAATCACTGGTTTGTGCATTATTGCATTTATTTATACAAATTAACTGATAAATAAAGCATGTCTTTCAAATAAACAAATTGTGCTTAGATGGAGAATAAAGAGCTCTTTTCTTAACTCTTATACTTTTTTTTCTTTTTAGACCCTAAATGTGAAAGACATTTACTCTAAAAGCCTTTTTATTGACTTGTTTGAGCCTCTTCTGTAATTTGTCCATCAGTTAAACATCCAAAAGGGCTGCATTCGATTTAAAATGTGTGCTATTTGCATATGGGAAGCTTTTTTGTGAATTAACAACATGCATGCCAAAGGGGCTCTTAAAGAAAATGAATCTTCTCATCCCAAGCTGAAGAAAAACAAAACATATCCATCAGTGAGATACAGGGAACATTAGCTGTGGCTGATCCAACAGTCTGCTTCCTACTGAGAAAATATACTAGTTAATGTGTGAAAGAGTTGCTGTTTGTTCTGTGAGATGGAGTTGGCCCTTGGGATGTACTGGTGATCCTACAGCCTTCACACAGAACCAAGAACTGTCATGATTTTGGCGCTGTTAGCTGGCTTGATTGCTCATTTCATTCACCTGTCTAGCTCTGCCCTGTTTCCCATCACTGCTCATTTGATCCACCTGGTCTTGCTTCCATTTTAACTCCTTGGTCCCATCCATCAGAGCAGGGTTATTCTTGAGCCTTGGTGTTGAAAGTTTTCAAGCCTTACTTATAGTGTTCTGTTTGTCTGAGTCTGATCTGTTTATGTATTCCGACATTTGAGCCTGCCTGTCCCTGTTCTTATCTTTCTCTGGACTCCTGTTGGTTTTCTCTGTGGACTGAACCTGGATCGTCCTCTTGACTCTGCCCCTTTGGATTATCCTGCCTTCCTTCGTCTGCTCAGATCTGATCTCCTGTCAGTTCTGCTGCCTTCTAGGCTTCCACGTCTGAAATTCTGGCAGCCCCCCCCTGCGTCTTGTCAGCTGACTGACTGGAATCATCCTCGTTCTCTGGGCATGGACTGAACTGTCAAACCAGGTTAGTGACTCAAACGTTCATAATCATCTTCTGTCAGATTATCGTGGTCACTAACCTGTGTTTCTCTCCTATTGACGTTCCTGCAATAGACGCCCTGCTTCCGCAGGCCAGCTTGTTTAAATAAATGCTTTAAGTTATTCCACTGTCTGTCTTGCCTGAATTCTGGGTCATCTGTTCTGAGTCTGGTGAAGATTCATCCAGGTCATAGTCATTCCGAAAAAGTAAAAAAAAAAACAATCCACTGGAGTTTGTTTTCAAGTTTGAAGTTTTTTCACATCAAAATGTCAGAATTCGCATTGATTTTGAAGCTTTATATAGTAGTCCAAAAAACTTGTTTTGGCTTAGAAACATGCAAATTGAAGCATCAGAATGGGTCTACCACTTAGGAATGGGGAGACAAGAACATGATTAAGCTGTTAAAGGTGGAACTTCCAACTTCGAGAAACCAGCATTTATTCAGTGTAATTTGTAGATTTATATGAGCAAAAAAGAAAGGTTTCTTTCTTCACAACATTGAAGAACTTAAGAGGTGGAAAGTATGACTTTGAAACAACTGTAAAGAATATAGAATAAAAAATACATTAAAGCTCTGCCTAACAGATGCAGACCAAGGGAGAAAAAAACTGAGTTCTGCTGAAAGTGGACAAAACATGGCAGGTGTGAAGTCAACCGAAGTCACAAAAATGTATCAAAGCTTATTAGATTGTCTTTTTAACAAATATAACTGAAGAAGCAGATGAAAGCAGCCAGTGTATATTAACTCCACTACAGAAAAGCAGTGGTTGAATACATAGCCAGAATTATTCTAGTAGCTTGTTGATGGCTAAAACAAGCATGTGGCTGAAGGACATTTAATAAACTATTTAGTTTGGGTAATAATTGATGTTTGCTGTGTAATCACTCAAACCTGGAAAAAGCATCATCAGAAGCCCCAAATTAATTTGACATTTCTTCCCATGATGACTGCATATGAAAGTCTGACTAAAACTGTATCCCAACATGGTTTTACCCACATGTTTCCTTTTAAAATACAATCACAACCCCAGGAATCTGTGGGCAATGGCTGGAGGGTATATGCAGAATTTATAGTAAAGAAGGTAAAAGTCTTCCAAAGACTTCAAAATGAGAAAAGATGATGGTTGCTGGTGAAGATGCTAAATTATAAAGTACTGAAAAGAGAGACGTTGACACAGACCAGCATTTTCTCTTTAAATCACACATGTCTACCAAGAAGCTCAAATTTATAAATATTTGATATATATAATACACACACATACAGACACACTCCAACCCAGAGAATCCCCAAAGCAGACAGACAGACAGACATCACTTTATAAACCACGTACCTAGAGAATAAGTGATGAGTCTGTGCATTAATTATACAAATACATTGAACTTCATGCACATTTACGGATCCCTTCATGCGCATGA